CACTTATGTAATTGGGGCACTTCAGACATAGTGGACACACACTTCCAGCTGCTCCACACAAACAAGTTCAAATACTTAGAAATTCATCCCTAGTACAGTTTTTGCGGGTTTTTTTTTTTTTTGATGTGCTAATTTAAGCATTTTCTCAAGCTGCATTTATCTGCTGGATAGAGCAGTCTAGGGTTTTTCATCCCTCAGTGTCAGAGCTGAAGATGGTGAACCAGTGTCAATGGTGTGGGTGCTTTAGGATACAGAATCCCCATAAAGGGAGAGGCTTCAGTAGGTCAGCAAAACCAGAGCAGACCGAACATGGATCGATTGTTGAGTCGTATACAAAAGAGAAGGAACGGACTCAAACGTGCCAAACAAATTTTGGCATTTTCCAAATTTGTAACTTTCAAACAAACAAACATACAACTTTTAACAGTTCTTCCTCTTGGTGTCCCTCAGATCTCACCCAGGTAACCGCTGCTCTTGCACAGTGTATCTCTGTGGACCACCGCTTGCTTCCCTTGGAGACTAACTCACATTTATACCCCGTAGTTGCAAAGCTGTTTCTCCTTTCCTACCTGGTTGCCCATCAAATGACAGACAGAGCACGACAGCAGAGAATGTGTTCAATCTTTAGGCGTCTCAGAGGGCTTCCTCATAGATACTGTTTCCAGAAGCCACACATGCTAACTAGCAAGCAAAGCTACATGCATCTACAGAAGGATGTGTCAAAGTCAGATGCGGTGGCTTTTGCTGAAATCTCCGTACTAGGGAGATGGGGGCAAAAGGCTTGCTTTGAGTTCAAGGTCAGTCTGGGTTTCGTAGTGACTTTGGGGCCAGTCCAGAGTGAGACGCTGTCTCAAAATACAAGACACACCCGGTGTGGTGGTGCACACCTTTAACGTCTGCACTCAGAAGGCTGAGGCTGTGGATCTCAGGGTCGAGGTCAGTGCGATTTATGTTGTGAGTTTCAGGCCAGCCGAGGCCTGAAGCTTCTCAAGAAGCAAACCAACAACAAAATGAAGAGCTATACCATGAGGTTCTAACGTGCAGTGAATGTAACTGCTCCCGACACTGAGTCGTTTACCCTGGCTCGTCATTGTTTACCTACAGGTGTAATGACTTATCACACGGCCCTCCCTGTCCCGCTTCAGGTGAAATTGCTGTTGTCAATCAAAAAGAAAACACAGTCATCCTTAAAAAGCCCAAAGTACCATGTAGACTAGATTCTTCCTCCATACCCCAGCACTTTCATAATGCATTTCCCAAGACCAAAGAAACCCAACAGTCATCCATGAATTCCCCCTGTCAAGCAAGAGGTTGAGTTAATTCTCCCCTCCAATCTCAAATCCATCACTACCACCCAGGGCAGTTATACTAGCCCTCAGTCTGATGTCCTTGCCACGACTGCCATTAAAGTTTGTCCCAGTTTTTGGAGTACCACTGCAAGCCTCCAAGGGCTGACCTTTGAGCATTTGACGGTCCCACCACCCCAACACCAACTATCTCTAATGATTTCAGTCCTCTGTTTCTCTGCTCCTTTGAACCAATGACTTCAGATGAGCCCTCCATATAGAGAATGCCTTCCCTTTTCCTCCTCTGTGTTATACCTGGTCAATTTTCACTTCTCTGTTCCCAGCTGAAAAGTTCACAGCTTCTTGGAAGCCCCCCATTTCCCCCTCCAAACAAATCTCAATTACAATCCACCTCCTCTCCAGTCCTACACCCTGAACCTGGCGGGCACTGCCCACACGTTATCGGTTTTCCATTCCCACCGTAGCAAAGCCCATACCTATACAACACAGAGCCCCGGACCCTTTGTGGGCCAAGTAAACTTAATGACTAACGGGTGTTAAACGGTTTGAAACTATTTTGAAAGAATTGCTTGTAATCTGAAGGCAGAGAAGACGCATAAGCAAAAATGCATCAAGTGGCATGTGAGGGATTGTGCTTCCTATGTATTTAAACACTTAAAAAAAAAACAAACAAAAGGAGAATATGGCGCTATAGCTCAGTGGTAAGAGTGTGTGTTCAGCACACATGAGATCTTGGGATCAATTCCCAGTGCCCCAAACTCCAAAATAAAACAAAGGTTATTTTTTAATCTGTAGGGTATTTCTTGAGGGGGGGGAGTATACAAAAACTCATACAGGCTAAAACCTCTACCACATTATGTATAACGGAACACAATGATAGTCCTCTGGGGACCGAAGGTTTGGGTGCTCCCTGCTTTCATGTGTTGAAGTCTATTCCTCAATAGAGAGAACTCATAGGGGATGATTATCTAATAAGAGTTCACTCTAAGGAATGGGACTGCCACCCTTGTAAGATGCCGGAGGGAGCTCCTTTGGCCCCTGCCTCACACAAGGACCGACTAAAGGTACCATCTACGAATCAGAGCGCAAACTGTTACCAGATGCTACCTAGTGCCCTGACTGTGTACCATCTGTGAGTGATAAATTCCTGTTGTCTCGGTGGAGTATGATGCAGTGGCAAAAATAAATAAATAAATAAATAAATAAATAAATAAATAAATTACATCTTGAAATTTGCAGGCAAATGGACAGAACCAGAAAAAACCATCCTGAGTGAGGTAACCCAGACCCAGAAAGACAAATATAATATGTACTCACTCACCAGTGGATAGTGGACATAAAGCAAAGAACAACCAGTTTACAGGCCACAACCCCAGAGAACCCAGGTAACAAAGAGAGATGAACATGAATCTACCTAGGAAGGGGAAGAAGACAAGATCTCCTGAGTGAGTTGGGAGCATGGGAGGGGCAAGGGGGTATAAAGGGTGTGGTGATATATTACTTATGATTTATTAAAGCTTGCCTGAGAATTCAGAAAGCAAAGTCAGCCACAAGCCATAGAAGTCAGGCACAACACTTTTAATCCCAGCACCCAGAAGCTAGGAGGTGGTGGTACGCACCTTTAATCCTAGGATTCAGAATTAAGAGGTATACAGATCTCTGGGAGTCTAATGCCACCCAGATCTACACAAGATTGATTCAGTCTTAAAGACAGACAGCTCACACAGAGATGATCTCAGCACCTGGGATCCAATGCCTTTAATCCCAGCATTAGGGAGATAGATAAGACAGGAACGTGGTCTCAGTATAAGGCATTCATTCTCCAGCCACATTGAGGATAGGAAGGCACTCAGTCTGAGGGTTCTACAGCCATGCTGAGGAGAGGCAGCAGGATCAGCCCATTCAGACTGAGGCAGCCAGCAGTAAGAGGTAGTAGCCCGATACTTTGCTTTCCTAATCCTCAGCTTGAAGTTTGAACCCCATTAAATGTCCCGGGGTCTTTTATTTTCCATGTTATAAAGGGGAGATGGGGAGAGGAGTGGGAAAACATGTATAGCTCAATAATAAAAAATAAACAAAAAAGTGCCTGTTGTTTATAAAGTGTCTTGTCTAAGGTATTTACAGTAACAGAAAAAGGCATGAGACTCCATTAAGATGCCAAATTTTCCCCAAAGAGCCACAATTTCAAACACAGTTAGGTAGTTTCTACTCTGAAGTGTGCCTGTGTGTCCCCCACTGTGTCTCACTTAAATGTGGGATTTGGAACATTTTTAGACAAGAAAAACCTTCCTCCACAAAAATAACTATTTTGAAATCCCGCTTCGTAAACCAGGGATGTCTATGAAACAAAACTACACTTCAGCATCAGAGACATTTTTCTTTTCTAAAAGTTTAAAAATCTGTTCGTGGAAGCCAGGCATTGGTGGTGCACACCTTTAATCCCAGCATTTGGGAGGCAGAGGCAGGTGGATCTCTGTGAGTCTGAGGCCAGCCTGGTCTACAAGAGTGAGTTCCGGGATAGCCAGAGCTACACAGAAGAAACCCTATCTCAAAAAACAAAGACAAACAAACAAGCAAATCAGTCCATGGATAATTTCACACATGTACACAAGGGATGCTGGCCATTCTTGCCACAGCATTATTTTTAAAATGCTATTTTTACTTGGTGAAGGATATAGGCCACAGGAGAGGGCCACCCTCACAGAGCTAGGGCTACCTCTTCAGTAGCCTGGATCGGGAATATGTCAAGGCCATTAAGGAAAAGATACTTCCTCCTGGTCAAAGAAGAGGGATCTACCCCTGGCCTTGGATGGAAACTGAAGGTTCCAAGCTACACAGAACACAAGAGTTAATTCAGCTGGATCCATTGGTTATCCAGCCAAAGAGACCAGCCCTCAGGAAGGCTGATTCACCTTAAGTTGTACCAAAGAGATGGGAGGAATAATTATTCCTTTTCCTTCCCAGAAACTCCTGGCTGTGTGGCTCTGCTATGGATTTACTGAATTACTTACAAAAACATAGCTTTCCTTTTTTTTTTTTTTTTTTTTTTCTTTTTCATCTTTTTTCTTCTTTCAGATACTTGCCAAAAGCCTCAGCATGATGCCCTGAACACTCTGGGCTTCCTCCCTCTTTTTCTGTGGAGCTGTCGCTGAGACCCATTTCCTTCACATGGGACAGCCATGTCTCTATCTCTTCTCCGACTTCCTCCTTCTCCTGGAAACTGCTGAGATTTACACCTTGCCTGCCCTGGACTTCAAATAAAATGAACTCAAAATTGTCTTCGAGTTGCCTTCTGAGTTCCTTCTTAATTTTTTTTAATTAAAAAAGATTAAGACTCTTAAAAAGGAACCCGTATTGTTCCCCATAACATGTGGCAACGCATAAAAACGGGAAATAAAGACTGGACGTAGGATCTCACTGTGTCTTCAAAGGGAGCCAGATGACCAGGCTCATTCTAGGAATATGTTTGTCCCCACTGTTCTGTGCTGAGTTGCCAAAAAGACTGTTTTGAAACCCAGCAATTACAACATACTTCGGGTGGAAAGCACCCGGGGGGTACAACAGGCTACTTATCCAAAATAATGAGCTTCACCAGAGATGTTGCACTAGAAAGACGCTGTCCACTCCAGACTGCTGAAGTGACTTTCCTACAAAATACCCGTTTTTTTTTTTTTCTTTTTTGGAATAGTTTTGTCAAAGTTTCATTTCTTTAATTTTCATTTGCTACTAATACTTCGACACTTAGAAGATAAACGATGAAGTCTTAAGCCCCAACTCTGTGGTCTGATGAAGACATATTATGGTGCCACTCTCATCATTAACAAGTGAGACGTGTCTCAGTCCCTTCTACCGCCAGGATTAAACATCCAGACATCAGTGTCTGCGCGGGGCGGCGGCATCGCAGGCCCCTTCCCCTGCCAGGAAGACCGAGGCAGCCCAGTGGCCTGTTAGATGAACATCGCACAGTAGCTGCGCTTACTCGCGGCCGTTCTGTCCAAGTGTTACCGGATGCAAAGGAAATGGGCTGACAAAGTTGGCAGTGCACGGGGAGATGAGATGGGGGTGGGGGTGGGGATGAGGCGGGGTAGTGGGATGGGCGACGGTCAGTGATGGTTGGTGGTGATGGTGATGGTGGTGACAGTGGCGGCGGTGACGCTGGGCCGGCTCCTCTCCCGTTTTTCCATGACTGCCGGTCCTCGCAGCCTCCGCCGTCCCCGCGTGGCCTCTGCCCGGAGAAACAGGATTTGCACCCAAGCCGCACGTCCGCGGGCGCGAGGCTGCGGCGCCCCCACGAGCCGGCCACGCGCCCCTCCGAGCCCCCCGCGCTGGTGCCGCCCGCGCATCGCGGCCGAGGCTCCTCCGGCCCGGCTTCCCCACCTCCTCTCCGCCCTCCCCCGGCGGCAGCGCCCGCGCCAGGGCCCGCCCCGCCGAGCCCCCCGCGGCCCGGTCCCTGCCCCCATCACTTACGCGGCGCTGGGCCCGGCGCGCCCGGCGGCCCGAGACAAAGGCTGAGCGGCCCCGGTGCCGCCGGCTGCTTCCCCTAGCCGCCGCTGCCGGGGACCGGGAGGAGGAGGATGGGGAGGATGGAGAGGAGGAGGGGCGGGGAGCTGGGGGAGGCAGCAAGGGAGCGCGGGGGAGGGGCCCGCGGCGTCCGCCACCCACCGCAGCCGCCCCAACCCCAGCCCTCCTTCCGGGCCGGCCGCCACCCTCCGGGGGTGGGTACCGCCCCCCGGGGGCGGGGTGGGAGGAAGAGGAAGGGAAGGAGGAAGGCGGTGAGTGCGCCTGTGTGCTCCTCCTCAATCGTGATCGTCTCCACCCCACCCCCGCGTCCGCCAGCAACCCCAGGAACATGCTAGACTCCCCGCATCAGCTGCCTGGCTCCCAGCCGCCCGCTCCCGCCTCCCTCGGTGCCGACACACCTCTGCTCCAGACCAGTGCAGCCCGATCCACCTCCACCGGCGAACAGACCTGAAGGCTAAGTGCCCGAAAGCGCTGGCGAGGGAGAGAGAGCCTTCTAGTGGGGTCTGAGCCCTTTGGGACCCGCCTCTTCTGGCTCCTCTAGCACTATCTCTAGTACCTAGGGGACCGCCAAGGTTGTGGAGTTGGGCAGGTGAGATCTGCCTCTCTTTCTGAAAAGTAACTCCGTGGCTTAACTCAGTCATTTGCCTCTTTTTGGTGCAAAGATTTTGATTTTTCTTTTTTTCATATTTCGAAAACTTTTTATTATTATTTTTTTAAGTCAAAGGAGGAGAATAGTGTAACAAGCCATCGCCAGCCTCGAGAGATGTCAGAATTTTCCCTTCTGTCATACACTGCACTCAAAACAACACGATGGCCATGTCAGCTTCCATCCCTTCGTGTCCTCTTAACTAATGTTATTTTCTGAGCATCCTGGTCCCTGGGCTAAGGGTTTCACCTGTGCTGCTTGGCTTGGGTGGGAACCAAAAATCTTGTCCCCGAGTTGGTGGTAGGAGGGCTGTTGATACACCACGAGCTAAGCAACACTGACCCACCAAGGGCCAAACTGCGTGCCTCTGTCCCAGACTCTGCCAAGTGTGACTGATGCCTGTCCCTCCAGAAAAAAAAAAAAAAAAAAAAAAAAAGGAACAAGAGAATGTCTAATTACAGTCCAAGGGCTTCCTCGCTTTCGGAACCCAAGTTCAGGTTGTGGGCCACAGAGGTCTGGAAGGTGGGGCCTGGGGTCCACAGTAGTTGGGTAGATGGGTCAATATAAACACTGCAGTCTCTCAGCCCTTCATCTCCAGCTGTGTGCCCTGGGGCAAATAACTTGGCAACTCTGCACCTCATTTTCTCAAGGTGGGTGGGGGAGCGTTGGGAGTGTGGCTGGAGTCTGCTGGGGAGGCACTAAAGTATGTAGAGTGCTTGGCCTAGAAAGGTTGAGAAGGCCCCGTGAGCACTTAGCCTTCCATGGGTGGGGGAGGGGAGCAATGGAAGAAAACCCAGCTCTTGGCTTTTCCAAAGGATTTGCAGCCTCGGTTTCAGAGGTTCGTAGGGGCCCACCCCCACTCTGTCTTCGGAAGAAGCTGAATGAAAATACGGAAAGCAGAAAGGCTTTTCTCGGCGGAGGCCTGCAGAGCTTACTTTATGCAGGCGCTAACCCTCTGGACCTGTCTGTCTCTCCTTATCGAATGACTCCAGGGCACAGCCTTCAGGTCCAGCAAACGCCCTGCTGCCCCGACTCCGTATGAGCTGTCCCCAACAGCCTGCCCACCCCACATTCGTGGGGGCGGCTGTCAGGCATGCAGACTGTTGTAAGGATTGAGCTGGGATCCGTCTTCAAGTCTTAGCTCTCCTTGAGACATTCTCACCATTGCCCAGACCCATGCTAGGCAAACTACTTCAGAATGAGCTAGCAGAAACCATTCTCCCGAGAAGGTTTGCCCTGTGCTGTGTGACTCCCAATCCTTAGGCAGCCCAGACGCTGGCCCCGCCCCGGTTGACTTGAACTTGCTCCCATGCTCAATCTTGCTGGGGTCCAGAGAGACAGAGGCATGTGTGCCCTAGAACCCAGACACCCTCCACCTTGGTTTGGCTTTTTCACGTGCTCGTTGCGCTCCATTCTCATCTGTAGTGAGAACCACAGCTTCCCCACCACCACCACCACCACTACCCGACGGGGACTTCCCTAGCTTTTTCTGATGAGCGCTGCGTTGTCTGTGGTCTTTGCATCACTGTGGAAAAGCACTGGAGAAACCCCAGTCTAGAGAAAGAAAGGTTTTGGAGGTTCTCCACGGTCCCTTGGGTTCTGTGGTTTTGGAGGTCGTGGTGGGGGAACTCACAGGGCACGCAGCGAAGGCACGCACACATCTCATGGTGGCTGAGGAGCAGAGAGGATGGGACAGTGTCATGGTGTCCCCTTCTAGGGCACATCCCCAGCGCCCCCAGCTTCCTGCTATCCCCTCCCACACGTTGGGGGTTCTGGTGAGGACCAAACCTTAGGCATGTGGGCCTCTGGTGGGCTTTTAAGAGCTGGACCAAGGACCCATCCCCTGCCCCTTCTGCCCTTCTGTCTTTGCTGTTTCCTCCCCCACTTTGCTCTGTGGACCCCATCACCCTCACTGTGCACTGAATTCTCTATTGCACTGAATTCTTTTTAAACCCTTCCATTGCACAGTGTCTGTAAAAATTCAGGAAAATGTAGGTGAATAAGGCCAACTCTCACATCCTGTAGGATGAGATCCATAAATGAAGGGTGGCGTCTGGTTCTCTCCTCAGAGAGAAACTGCCAGACTGTAATCGGTCTTACAGAACACGGGATGCCTTGTGATTCTTGGAGGTAACTTTACCAAAGAGCCGTAGGAACGGGTTAAGACGAAACTTAACGAGGGACATTATTAGCATCCATTTGTTCTTTGTGGACAATCTGACACTCAGAGGCCGCTCTGAGGGAGAACTCTATAAACTATTAAAATGACAAAGAACTTTAGTCTAGATAAAGAAATAGAGTTCAGTTAGCTAAATGGAAGACCGTACAAATGTAAGCGGACAGCTTGCAGTGATGAATGGGCTCTGTAGCTATAAAGATCAACTTACAGAAGATTAATAGGAGGGGAGATGTATAATATCTGGGCTTCCAGCTGTTGAGGAGTGCTAAACTTATTGACGTTGAAGATAAGCCCTGATAAAAGAAATTCCATCCAAACGGAGAGAGAATACTTTAAAATAAGCCTAATGCTAGGGACTAAATTAAGGCAGTAAATATATCTGTGGTTCCAGCTCATTTACTCTTATAGGGACTACAGATCATTATAATGAACAGTAGATTATTAACCACAAAGTGCCCTATGCATCACAAAGAATTTGAGCCACGTACTCTCGCACACCCAGGGAGATCTGGTTGTCCCAACAACAAGGAAGCTTGCACACACGGGTTGGAAACTAAGAAGACTGAGAATGTCAGAGAGGGTGTTTTTTATGTCAAGGAGTGAAGCCTGCATCTCCTCCTCGGTGGTCTGGATGGATTTGCCAACCAAGAGAAAAAACAATGGGAAAAATTGATAGGCAACATTCTGAGGCTAGTTGGTAGAAGGCTGGCAGTACATCTGACTCAATGGCCATGCTTGCCTTCAGCGTTCCCTCTCAAGGGGAATACCTGTCCCAGAACCAAGCCCAGGGACATGAAGACCTCGAGAAGATACATTGAGGTCAACACTCTTAGCCTTGCTGGCATCTCAGTCCAGGCACCAGACAGGGAAGTAAAGATGCCTCCAGACGACTGGTATGCCCAAACCCTCCAGTACCTTCCAAGTATCATAGAGAGAACTGCCACCCCCTTGATAATGTGACCAAATTCCTGATCCCCCAACTCCTTAAGCATGGTGAAGTAAGGTTGCTTTAATGCCATGAAGTTTGGATAGTCGGAGTGATAGCAGGAATACTAAACAACATGCAGACTTTTGCCAAAGGAGAGAATTTATACCACAGAGTTCCCAGTCTTAGCAAGGCCCCATGGGAAACAAGCTGAATTAAAAAGCAGGGGTTCTGCTGAATTTCAAGGTGCACTGTACCATCTATAACTTCCATAGCCCTGGGAAAGTGATGCCCTCCTGCCTACATCTATAAAATAAGACAATCTGATCGCCTTTGTAGGGGAGTTAGAAGATGGGCTGTCCATCCATCGATGCTGGTTGTCATTAACAGCATCACATACCAGGTGTGCCTATTCCATGGCAGAGCACAGGGGAAGTGTCCCTGCTTGCCAGCCAAGCGCTTGGCGACTTCCGTTTCAGCAGGAGGAGACTCATGTAATGGGCTTGCTAACCAGGCCCTGCAGTTTTACGGTGAGTTGACCTTAAGTCGGAGCCCTACACTCTTGTTTGAGCTGTCACCTACAGTAAGAAATACACAGTGTGAGCCAGGCACATGGTATCTATCCAGATGCTAATGGAATAATACTGGCCTTAATACAAACCCTGCACACGGGTACTTTCTGTTTTGTTGTATTGTTTTTTTTTTTTTTTTTTTCTAAAAACTCTACTTGGATTTCACAGTCTGCTAATGAATCAAAATTTACAAATAGAAAGCCAAGAGTAATTATTTTTTAATATATAATACATCAATAATTAATTAATTAAAATTCATAATATCAATTATTAATATATTAATACAATATATTAACATGATTATATATATATATCTTTTGCAATGGTTTCATCTTAGATACCAAATTGACAGGCCTAAGGGATGCCCAGACAGCTGGAAAAAGTATGTGTGTGTGTGCTTTCAGACCAGATTGTGCAAAGAATCACAAAAGTATATGGTACAGACATACACCCTCCTCAGTATCAGTTGGCATCATGCAATCCATTTAGTTCCCACATTAAACAAATAGGAGGAGGAAGAGGAGGCCAACTTCACGTTCTTGAGCTGGGACAACAATCTTCTGTTGTCCTTTGGCCCTCAGTCCCCTGGCTCAGGCCTCCGGGTTTGGATTAGAACTAAACCAGTGGCTCCTATTTATCCATCTAGCGTGACAGACACACGGTGTGTCCTCTTAACCACCACACTGTAGTGTATCACCGCCATTTCCTGTCTTTCTCTACTCACTCGCCTCAGATTCTCCTCTTTAGTCCTGACCAAAGGCAGATCCCTTACAGTAAATTTGTTGTTGTTTTTGTTCTGATCATCTAATCATCTCCACTTTCTGTGAGCTCCTCCTGCCCCCCTTTCAGGATCCCCAGTCTACTGTCTTCCAGAATAAGCACCTGCTCTGCATCCTACAGAGCCAAGGGTCCATCCCGTACAGCAGTGTGGGATCCCAGGTGGATGTGACTGTCTCTGCAGGACCACACACATGCCCAACACAGAGTAGGTGTCAGAAGGGCTCTTTG